GACTAAACCTCTGATCTCGTAGGAACTGAGTAGATCCGTTGTGCTTCGTTCGCGCGGGAGTCCGTGTGAAAAAAGCAGAACGGAGAAGAGATCTTAAGGAGGAAACTGGTCGGTCCGGACCGGCTATAGGGCATCCGATCTCGAGTGAAACAAAGGCATGAGCCCCATGCCTTTGTCTTTTAAAATTTCTTCTCAATTTCTTCAAAGTTTCTTCAAAATTTTGAATTTCAAATTAACGTAATGCCATGGGAGTTGTAAGTTGGACGGTGGAAGCGTTGCCGTCTGATGTCGGTTCCTCCTCGTGGTGGACGGTGGAAACGAGGGTTTTACCCTCGGCTAAACGCCGACAAAATATGTGCTGGTTTGGTAGTAACACACACACAATCCTTTAATTTTTATTTGTTTACTTATTAAATTTTTTTTCTCAGTACTTGAAAAAATTCAAATTTTTTTCTCAGTACTTGAAAAAATTCAAATTTTTTTTCTCAGTACTTGAAAAAATTCAATTTTTTTTTCTCAGTACTTGAAAAAATTCCAGACTTGGAGCAAATTCCCTGACTTTTCCATGTTTTCCAGGCCATTTTTTCTCCTGACTTTTCCAGGTTTTCCAGATCGCTGGGAACCCTGGTAATTAAATCATTTCGGTTGGTACAACGGTCGTGCACCTACCTATAGTTTACATATTTCTCGTCCTGCTTTGCAATGGAAACTTCAGGTATGTTACAAGACAATGACTGTTTTGGAAATTGCGAATTCCGTTCATAAATAACGTAAATGAATAAAAATTTGTTGGGGACGTCGTCAAAATATTTGATTATATATTTAATTCCTTATAGCCTTTCCAAAATGGCATCAAGAGTGATTTTCTCAAAATTCAAGTAAATTCAAGAGATAAAAAAAAAGATTGCTCTTTTCGTCGAAAAAATTCGTTTTAGACGCGATAGATGGCAACACTGTCGTCGGAGGAATTAAAAAAATGGTTGGGAAAACAAACGGTCCGTCCTGCCATTATTTCTGGAGAGCTTTTGTCGCCTGCTCGGACTTGGGACTCCTTTGCCTCTTGCTCATGAATATTCAGTGCATAGTTGCAGAGCTCTCCAGACAGTCCTTTCTCTCGTGTGATCAAGACTTGAGGGGAAATAACCTATCTACGTGGGAAACCAGAGGTAAATGGGATCCCTCGCTGAGAGCTGACTTTTAATGCGTGTTTGCGGATTAAACCGCGGTCCGACAATGCATTCAGAATCGTTGCCGATTTACGAAAAATCGACTGAATTTCCGTACACGAGGATTCAGTCGGCATAAGAATAAGAGCCCGCGTCGACTCAATGGCCCCTTTCCGAGAGAGTGGGTAGTTTTAATTATATCCTAACCTCCATGAAGTACGCCGGGTACTCAAATTTCATGCCATAATACTGATTTTTTAAAATGCTTGAGGAAAAATTGCTATCCAAACTGATGAACAAATACCTTCGCAATGAAATTGCGTCTCTTAAAAGAATTTTCTCTATTTTAAAAAGAATTTGGGCTGTTCCAAACACAAATACTCATTTACTATAACTCCCGTAGGCTGAACTAAGATTTTTTTGTGCATCGAGAGGGGGAGGGAGGGCTCGGCAATAAGGCATCTCGTAAAAGGACGTCTGGGGCACCGGAGGGTACCTCTTTGAGAGGAGTCTGGAGGTTCGGGAAAATTTTGAACATTATGAGACGTGCCAGTGATAACTGTGAGCTGTAATCGCCGCCTAAAAATCTATTACGGCACAATTTTGAAGATGACAGTTATTGCGATTATTTTGCAAGATCCTAACATCGTCTGAAGAGTCCCGGTAAGACTTTGGGGAATGACATCCTGTGCTTCTTCATATTCCCAGATCCATTCACGACTATCTTCCTCATTGCTTGCAACCCTCTTGCAAAGTATCAGAACATGGGCTGCGGCGTTTTTCTCAAAAACCAAGTCATACCCAATTGGCTGAGAAGTTGTCGACGGGATAGCGCTGTCTCCACTCGTCAAAATGGAAGCTCAGCCGGCCAGGTTGGCCTAGTGGTCAGCGCGTCTGACTCTAGGCCAATAGGTCCCGGGTTCGAATCCCGGTGGTGGCGACAAATTTTCACGGAACTGACGAGTGGATCTGCAGAAACAGATTCCACTCGGCCTTAATCCCTGAAAATTTGAAAGCCTGGAGCATGGATGTGCCTAAATCCCATGATGTCTAAGGACAATAAATACTGTCTATCGATGGCTGCAGGTTCCAACGGAATATAAGCCACTAAACCAGCAAAAAAAAAAAAAAAAAAAAAAAAAAAAAAAAAAAAAAAAAAATGGAAGCTCAAAGTGAATCGATTTCAACGATAAGTGGCTTAAAGTTGGGACTTGATACGATTGATGAGTGTTGCAACTCAAAATAGAGTGACGCGACTTTTTTTTTATCAACAATCGCAAACAGATCGTATCTATCGATTCACTTTGAGCTTCCATTTTGTCGCCATTTAGACGAGTGAACACAGGGCTTTAAACAGGTTCCATTACTCGTTGCTAATCTATGAGATTCCACCGTAGAATCCGGCTTTCTCAACACCCACACACAAGGCACTATGCTCCGGTAGAGTATGACGAAAAAAGCAACTTACCTCTCTTGATATCACCGTGCTTCTCGTACTTCAGGTCGTAGTGGATATCGCTGATTTGCCAAAAGTATCCTGTAACAAAAATTTCAGGATTCATGAATTATTTCAAGTTTTATTTAATTCTTTTTTTAAAGCTAATTGTCACAGATAGTAGATGCAGAGCCATGCGCTGCTTACGAAATATTCGACACATCAAACGATGCGCCGGTGCCAACCGTGCTATGTGAGTACATAACTTCGTTTATAAGAGGAAATCCAAAGCGCCTTCATTTTCTTCAATATGCAATACGGACATCCTTCGGACATAAATAGTTGTATTCAGGCGTCGGCTTCATTTACGTCACGCGTCGCGTCGTCGTCTGTCGTGCTAAGGAAGAACGCCGTATGAGCCTTTAGACGTTGCCAAATTTCATCCGATAAAAACCGAAATCACTGGGGAAATTGTGAATATAATTTTCTCAAATTCTCAGAGATTTTTGTACACAATTTAATCTAAAATATCTGAAAATTTCAAGGAAAAATATGCATGAAATTCCTCAAAAATACTGGTTTTATCGAGGGAAATTTGGCAACTCTCGAATGTTCATACGGCGTTTTTCCTTAGCAGGGCAGCCGTAAAGTTTGTTACGTGCTGTATCATCTGAAGTACCTGTGTTGGTATTTCTCTCAACGGGTCAGTTGCGCTGGTCACAGAGTTGTGTTTTAATGCTTACTCCGTGTAGATTAGCAAAAAAAATTAAGATCTGTCCAAACAGCAACTTTCTACGTACATTATCAACCGAGAAATCAGCAGATTGTTTACACTTTGAACAATAAAAGACGGGAAAGGTGCAATGCTCGATTGAGATGCCTGCTAAACCCGTTTTAAGGCGCGATTTGACTCACCAGAATATTGCGTTTCTTGTGACCGGGCATTCAAATTTCCTGTCACCAATGTAAAATAAAGACTTTAATATCTTATATTTAAGAGTTACTTTTAGTAATTTTCGATGTAAAAATCGCGTTTCACGTGAAATTGTGATCAAGAAACATGTATCAGAATGCTTCAATTCATACCTTGTCTAGTGGTCCATTGTCGAGAATTTACTCAATCGTCGAGTATCCTCAATTACATGTTTATTATACACACAATGGCACCGCCGACTGAGTCTGAAATCAATTTCTGAACGCACAAAGGCTCTTTGATTTGAAGTTATGGCGTTGGTAATAATTAATAAATGATTGGAGAGTCTACCCCTGTAATTAGACAAAACTCCATGCAAGTATTGAGGTGAATGCATGAGAATAGTTGCCGTTCTGAAGGAGACTTCGAAAGTCAACAGGAAAATTTTTAGCCTACAATGATAGAAGCCTTCCTCGTGTATTCGCCCCTCCTATGCGTAAATCATTTGACTAAATTCAAGGGTGTGCTCTTTGAGAGTTTAATGATCACACTGGGAAAAAAACACATTGGATCTAGAGTCCAGACTCTTAAAAACATCGACAAGAAGAAAGCCTCTTGATTCAATCAGATTTAAGCTTAAATCAAGAACCAAGTCTCTTAATTTGAGCGGATTTCCTTTTGATTAAAGCTTAAATCTGATTGAATCAAGAGTCCTTTTCTTGTCAATGTTTTCAAAAGTCTGGACTCTAGATCCAATGTGGTTTTTTTTCCAGTGCAACCAATCAAGAGTAATAATTAAGAGCTCTTTATGAGCTTAGTATAATAGACCAATCTATAGAAATAATTAATAAGCTGTTTGTGAGTTTGGAAGGAAACTAGAGGACATTTAGGAGGGCAAGACCATGTATGAAAGTCCAAAAATCCATCAGGGACCTGATAGGTCAGCCGACCCAAAATTTCAAAAGATCCATTCAACACGGAGAAAACTGACTGTTCTGAGCCAAAGACTCCGTGGTCTGTGTATGAGCATATTTTGGCGGGCGGTGATTTTGCCCTACCATTGACCATTTAGTAGTACGAGAGCAGTTGATGCACAATCGGTGAGTATCCTCAGTGCATTTTCACTGCATTAGGTGACATTTGGACAGGAACCAAGCCACATCTCCTATTGTCAAATTTGATTGGGCCATTCAATTTGTTACATGAAAACGGTTGTGCGTATTTTTGAGCAAATTTAAGGGATTTTTCTGCCTAGTAAAAAGCAAATTCCTCAAAAATTTTAAAGGAATCCGCACGAACGTTCTCTTGTGAAAAATTAAATTGCCCAGTTAAATTTTTCAATAGTTGATTTGGCTTGGTCCCTGTCTGCTAAACGCGGTCCATTTGGGTTCCGGGACTTTTCGGCACGACCGTTTCGGCGCAGGACTTTTCAGCGCGGGTGTTTCGACACGGGGGGTTTTCGGCGCACGGACTTTTCGGTGTATTTCAGTAGACAATATATCTGGCACCTCTGAACTCGTCGCACTGATCCTTATCTTGATATGAAATGTGTTTTGTGGAAGGTGTTTTGTCTTTATTTTTTAGTGACAAGGGCTCTTTACTAAGGACTCAGCTAATTTTAGTAATTTTTACGAATTTACAAATTTTTAAGTGCCAAGGGATAAATATATACACTTTTTACACTTCCACGGCCTTCTATTTCGTTAAGTCTAGCTAGTGGGCCGAGCTGGTGACGTTTCATTCCTACTCCTTCCCCTCTCATTCCTCTCCTATCTCATCGTTGTTTGGACACTTATCTGGCTAGAGCGGGGTAAAAACTTCCAAGACTTGACTATCTTAAAACATTTATGTAGCAAATTCTTGGAATTTTTGGTCAACCATACCCACAACTTCCACTTTCTTTGTCCTCCTCTCCGAAATATTCTGACAGGAAATCGTTCTGGAAAATAAGGTGAGCAGTCCCTTCTTGTATTCTAAGGCCTTGTCCACACGAGCGCGGTTCGAGGAACTTGTTCCCGGAACAGGTTTTAGCTGAGCTGAAAACTTATTCCTCCTAAACCCGGAACTTCCCCGTACTCCGAGCTTCTGCATAAGTTTCTTTTGATGTGAATTTGTTTGTTTTTGTTTTTTACGTCCTTTACATGTCTTGACATTTATTTTTGTTACTTTGGCGGCCGTAATAATCTATTATCTTGCAATAATTGTATAGTTTTATTGAAGTTCCGGTTCCAGTTCGGGCGAACTCGTGTGGACAGCATCCCTCCTTTCAAGGAACAAGTTCCGGGAACTGAAAAGTTCGTCGAATAAGCTCCTCGAACCGCGCTCGTGTGGACAGGTCTAACAATATAGAACGTGCGCCAAAAAATCCGAACACCAGTGGTACCTTCGTGCTTTCCCAGGAATCAGTACTTGAAAATAGGCAATCCACCTTACTTGCAAAAACTCCATTGCCCACTGAATTACTCAATACTCGGTCCTGATGTCATCTTGTTGTGTACTTCTATTACACCGCCCAGGCTGTCATTCGGATTTGATTCGAGTTCCTTGGGTCCCCGGCTCCTCCTTTTATTGCAGTTGAACGTCTTCTCGAATGAGACACGGCTAAATGGACGATAAAACGGCGACTTACTACCCTCGTCTACCCTTGCCACGTACTCTCCCATCCCGACCGAAAACCACCCAACTCCAACAGAAAACCCCATGCAGATGTGCGGTTCTAGTTTAGCCTCGGCAATAACAATCCTGGCCGGAAAAGTTACGCTGCGTCTATGCCGCGATGAATGGGGGAACCGCGATGTAAAGGAGAGCGTGCGATCACCAGTGTTGCCAATTCGTGGTAGCATCGTATTTCGTTTTGAGTTGTTTCTTGGGATTCTTACGGAATTTTGGCAACCTTGCGCGACTTCTCGCGAGCTAAGCTCGTCAAGCTCACTCAAAGTTCGCGCGAGGAATCAAAGCTTACCGCCGATGCCAAGAGGTTGCCTATTATTTTAAGAGCTTATAAGTTGCTCAGGCTACGCGCGGCGCGGCGGACGACCGAGAGAGCACCCTACGCACGCTGGGCAAAAGTTGCAGCTTTGACGGGTAATGCTAAAAATTACCCCGATCGGATCCAACTTCGAGTGGAAAAATTTCGTCGTGCTTGCGCTTGCTTTTAATTGGACGTATTTCTATCAAACGGAACTATGTGCATTGTGACGTGAGCCCTGTAATGCATACGTCGCAGGCAAATAGTAAAATTAGGCATTTTGTCAAATGCCTAGGCGAATAGTCAAATATTCTAACTTAGATTGAAATTCTGATTCTTTTCCTAATTTCAGACAAAATAATTCATCGCTCCTGCAAGAAAAAATCCTCGGTAAAAATGTGCACACACAATAGTATTTTAAACAATTTTTAGCTCCTGAAGAGACACTGATCTTGGATTTTCAGCAGGTTGTAAAATACAGAATTTTTGGAATTTCAACATTTAATGATATGAGAAGCAATTGAAGAGGAAGAGATAAAAAGAGTTCGAAGGTTTGATGAGTTATTTATCCAAAAATAGTGAAAAATCGCGAGCTCTTCGCCATGAATTCACAAAATTTTGTAAACCGTCAATATTTGACCATCTGCCTAAGCATTTGACAAAATGCCTGAATTCACCATTTTCCTGCGACAAATATATTCTTATGGGTATCAGGGCTCATGTCTTAATGCACATAGTTCCGTTTGACAGAAATACGTCCAATTCACTGCGGGTCGAGAGCCGAATCAAGCATTTTCTCGAATCCTTCGGCAGATTGCCTATCAATCATTCTGGAAAGAGCTATTTCAACGTTTCACTCGCTGTATGTGTCAATTCTCAGAGAAATAGTATACAATTTGGACCGAGTTCATCAGGAAGGAACCAACCTCGATTAAGTTAAAACTGAAGAAAAGAGCTTTGAAGTTTTATTCGTGCATAAAGCCCAATGTAGAAAATAAACTTTAACCCCTCTTTTCACAAACTAATTTCTGATTTTCGCCTTTCATTTTTTGGCAGGAAAAAATATACGTATAGTGGAGCTCAAAAACATTATTGACTCAATTTTTCCGAAAATGTGGGTTGGTGCCTTTCTGATAAACTCAGTCCAATATTAAGTGAGATTTCACCCTTTGAAAAGTCGGGTTTTTAACGTCATCCACCGCGGTAGTGACACGCCCTTGG